AAATNAATTGCACGAGTGTATACACCTTTTGAGGTCACCATACTTAGATTTACCTTCTTGTACAGAGTGGCTGCTTTGCCTAAAGTTCTGCCATAGTACAATAGATTCACCAAGACAAGTGGAATATCAAAAAAAAAAAAAAAAACGTTGTTTTTATCTGTAACTAGGGGTAATCACGTGATTGAAGACATGGTGTAATGATTTTAGAGGGAGATGTGATGACGTTAAATGAACTTATTTAAAACCGTCAAATAGACTTATTGAAATCTGTTCAATTTTGCATTATAAATAACTCGGGTATAAAATAGAACAATCTAATTTGTACCCCCATGATATTTGAAAAATAGTTTGAACATCTCTAGTTTTGAATATCTAATTTCAAAAATTTAACATTTATCTTTATTATTCTGGTTTTTTTAAACTCATTCTCCAATTTTTTTAACAATTAAGTGATGATCCAATTTTGTTTTGAATGGATGGGATATGTCCATATCAAAGCATTAAGTTTAGTTTGAATAATTAAAATGAACTATATTTTCTGGATGTAGATAAATCCTGGCCACTTAAAAGAGAATTGGAGGAATTTCTATTCTTGAGAAGCTGGAGAAGAACCGAACTTGTCTTCTACCATGTTTTATTTTCATATGTTTTGTGATTTTTACGTTATTATGTTCGGGTGGTGTCTATAATAATATCGCAAATTAGAAACAATGAGACACGAAGACAAAAGCGAAAGAATAACTCTATATGCACTACTAAATTCCAGCAATAATTTATAATCACGGCAGAGTTGTGTGAGTGACATGCAACAATAGAGAACAAGGTTAGAAGAGGGTTAGAGAATTGTACGACTCATCTCCTCTGATGCATAAGTTAGTAGGTATTAAAAGGGATGATAAGGCGTTTACTGTGCTCTGGGTTTATTGTGAATGCATATACCTGACTCATTGGACTATTTATACATTCTAAGAAGATGATGTGGCAATGTAGGGGTTCCATCAAGTCAGTCGGGGGAGCTTTCATAGATATGATCATTAGTGAGTTATCTTTTTCTCGAGTTGTACAATTATTAAACTTGGGTAGATTGACAGCTTCCTGGAGTTTAGCCCAGCAACGATTACCTTGCTCGATGTGCTAAGTACTTAATGTATGTCCGCTTAACATTTAATAATTTTTGAAAAATATCATTAAGTTATTCCGAACACTCGTTGTGTTGACATCTAGTATTAAATTCACGTCATTAAGGGTCATTCTTTTATCCGAATTTTCTAAAATTTGAAGTACAAATCCGATATGACCTATCCGTGAAAATAATCAATTTTTATGATGGGTCCACATCCTTGCCAATCATTAATTATTCGGCCCGAGATGCTCTTTAGTCTGCTAGGCATATTCCTCTAAATTCTCGTTTTAGGGCCACCAACCACCACAATGTTTCACTTTTTGGGTCCACGTGTCTTGCTTGATACTCTATACCTATAAATAGCACTTTTTCCTGCCTCTTCCAAAGCCTCGCTTCCCAAATAGTAGTGTAAATCTCTCACCCTCCCCCCTTCTTCCCCTGTCTCTGATTTCTTTGTGTAAGTTCCTTAGCTCTCTCCATTTCTTTGGGTTGCTATATTTCATAGCCAGTTGTCATTGAACTTATGAAATTTTCTATTGTTTAGTTGCCCAGAATATGAGTTCCAAAGTCTTCGAATATTCATCTTGGTTGCTTAGTGAGAGCATATCAATGTGGCTTCTGCTATGNCAGTGACATGCAACAATAGAGAACAAGGTTAGAAGAGGGTTAGAGAATTGTACGACTCATCTCCTCTGATGCATAAGTTAGTAGGTATTAAAAGGGATGATAAGGCGTTTACTGTGCTCTGGGTTTATTGTGAATGCATATACCTGACTCATTGGACTATTTATACATTCTAAGAAGATGATGTGGCAATGTAGGGGTTCCATCAAGTCAGTCGGGGGAGCTTTCATAGATATGATCATTAGTGAGTTATCTTTTTCTCGAGTTGTACGATTATTAAACTTGGGTAGATTGACAGCTTCTTGGAGTTTAGTCCAGCAACGATTACCTTGCTCGATATGCTAAGTATTTAATGTATGTCCACTTAACATTTAATAATTTTTGAAAAATATCATTAAGTTATTCCGAACACTCATTGTGTTGACATCTAGTATTAAATCCACGTCATTAAGGGTCATTCTTTTATCCGAATTTTCTAAAATTTGAAGTACAAATCCGATATGAACTATCCGTGAAAATAATCAATCTTTATGATGGGTCCACATCCTTGCCAATCATTAATTATTCGGCCCGAGATGCTCTTTAGTCTGCTAGGCATATTCCTCTAAATTCTCTTTTTAGGGCCACCAACCGCCACAATGTTTCACTTTTTGGGTCCACGTGTCTTGCTTGATACTCTATACCTATAAATAGCACTTTTTCCTGCCTCTTCCAAAGCCTCGCTTGCCAAATAGTAGTGTAAATCTCTCACCCTCCCCCCTTCTTCCCCTGTCTCTGATTTCTTTGTGTAAGTTCCTTAGCTCTCTCCATTTCTTTGGGTTGCTATATTTCATAGCCAGTTGTCATTGAACTTATGAAATTTTCTATTGTTTAGTTGCCCAGAATATGAGTTCCAAAGTCTTCGAATATTCATCTTGGTTGCTTAGTGAGAGCATATCAATGTGGCTTCTGCTATGGTCTCTTTTCAACTTACGTGATTCATCACTTAGGACCATTCCTTGGATGGAGTCCGTGTATTGTTACTAACAACTGCAGTTTGGAACTTTCTGAAATCTGCTCCATCTAATGCAACAGCATATAAACGTTTTTTTCAAATGTGAAGGTGACCAGGCGACAGAAAATGGCGCAAAATTCTAAACTCTTGATGGGGATTCTGATAATGTGTTGCTGGGCAGCCATGGCAGAAACAGAATATGTTAAGTATAAAGATCCAAAACAGCCACCAAGTATTCGAATCAAGGACCTGATGAATCGGATGACTCTGGAGGAAAAAATCGGCCAAATGACACAGATACAACGCGCTGTGGCATCAGCTGAGGTCATGAAGAAGTATTATGATGGGACTCTTCTGAAATGCCCTATGATGAAGACACGTTTCCTCGGTTTTGCTAAAACACTGTTGCTTGGATCAAGTACCACCGGCGAACGAATATCCTCGCCCCCGAGGTACCGTCATATAGGATCACACATTCAGTATATTATAGAACCAAACACGTGTCCTCGGTCACCTATGTACCTTGGTCGCATACCTCCCTCGGTCCCCGAGATAAGCCTTTCCTCGGTGCCGAGAGTTACACCGTCCTAGACGCTTCCTCTACTCCAGGATAAGCTATTGACGTATAGGTCACTAGCCTAGGCTAGTCTAGGCTGCTCATTATGACCTCATCTTACACAAGTAATGTCAGAACATACTGAAATGCAGAGGTCACAGCCAATAGGGGATGGACGCGTGGCAAATGATGTCACATCAGAGACAGACAAACTGCACGCCGTTGCTGACACGCGGCTTGGGAAAGCAAACAATTAATTGCACCCTTCTGTTGATGAGACCGCATTCAATGCGGTAAGGCTCGAAAATGAAAGGCAATAAATGCTCCTATTACAGAGCATTTATTGCATCCTCCCCGAGAGGAGCATATTGTACCGTCGGCATCCCGACGACTCAGCATTGATTGCTCGGGACCCCGAGCAGTCAATTAGAGAAGACATTCCTCATCAGAATCAATGCACACGCTACCTGTGCCTAATGATCACCTACTGACCACACTGACAGCAATCATGA